CAGAAATCTGTCTGTGCATGCAACAGTTGAGCCAAACAAAGTTCTACAACATGTTCTCCAGTAGGCAACTCAATGTCCTGTGCTCTTTAGACCTACAAAGCTTGTAATCTTTACTATTGTGTCATTCAATGTGTATCCAAACATGTGGCAAGCATCTTCTTCGCCTCTTGTCATTTCGATTGGAAGATTCACCCCAGTCTAGCCGCCAGGCCTATAGATAGGGGACCGATAGGGCCTCTTGGGCAGGGGAGGCAGTGGCTCTGCCTTACTTGGTGGGACCACTGCGCGGGAATCAACTGGATATAAACAAGTCCCAAACACCGCTGTCTTTTTCATGGTGTTCTTGCGCTTCCTCGTTATGGTCTTTGCTGGCAAGCTGGGGTTCGATTCCCCTGTACGACTTGGGGTGTGGCTCGAGGTTCAATTCCCCGGAAGATCTTAGCCCGGCAGTGCTGGGACAGTGTGTTCTTTGACACTTCTGCTGCGTGTCAGGCGTCCTCACCAGAATTCAAATGCCTAATCGTTTGATTTAGCTTTGTTGTTTGTGAACTCTTGTCAGCCCGGCTTCGGTCGGGCTTCACTTTCTTTGCCGGCGACTCCTCGAATTGCCCTTCATTTATGCCAGCCTTTCCATCGAATGCCTTCGCCCTGATTGGGCCTTTGTATTTACCAGTCTTTACATCGAGCTTGCTCTGCTTTGGCCTACTTGGATGTTTAAGCATAGTCTCGCCCGGCAGGTTGCAGTCTACATCTATATACATCTACTACCCTCTAAATCTGGTGCATTTTGGGGCTTGCTTAGCCTGGTCCTCCCTACTTTGACTGAGGCGGTGTCGTAGAGCTTTTGATCTGAGCTGAGTTCACAGCCATCCATGACTCGTGACCAGCTCTCTGCAAATAGTGGATCAAATCGACCCGGTCCTGCCGTGCTCCAAACGAAACATGAGGAGTAAAATGCTCACTGCTATTGCTCCGATGGGAAGGCACGGTCAAGTGGTACAGTACACGTGTGGCTTGTTGCTTCAGCACACATTGACATGTTATTGACGCACAAAGGTACGATGTTGCTTCCAAACGGCCAAATCCTCAAATGGACATAGAACTGCAATTGGAAAGTGTGCAAATGTGACCGGTATTTCGAGACTTTCGAGAGGGAGGAAAACTTGGTCTTGACTCCTGCCAGCTGTCGATGCCACGGAAGTTCATATTGATGACACCGCCCGCGAAGGCCTTGGGATTCTTCAGGAAGGCCATCATATTCCTGGCAATGGCATTGCCCGTTCAAGTTGCAGGAATGGCAGGACCGGGTGGCAGTTTTCAAACATGATTTAACAAGAGACTAGTCATCAGACTCAAGGCTATGCCAGCCATTACATCACCTCTCTCCAGATCAGCTAGCCACCTCTCTGTCCAAAGGATTCCGCTGGACTCAAGCTTGGTAGAATATTTGGCCCAACCTCGGAAGCTGATGAATTGAACTAAACTGATCAAATGCCTTGATCTCTGGAATGGGCAGTTGGCCCTTTTCAAGTGCATCTTTCCCAGCCTGAGCGTTGGTTCATGGCCGCAGTACGGCCCATGACACCGTACAAGTTTGGGCCTGCTAGGGTACCTGGGGAAAAGTAAACACGTTGAGTGCCCAGCGGTTGCGATGAAATAAACACATTTGCATCTTACAACATGATCAGGTGCCAAGTTCACACCGCGAGCCAAAGTGAGACACCTGAATGTGTAGAAGCTGGCCCGGGCTAAGACTTTGACCATATGGATTTGTTCCGTCTCTCCGGATTGTGTGGCACCTCTGCTGGAAAGACTTGACCATTTTCCCATTGCGAGTCTGACAAATCTTGTCTTTGAGTGATCTTCTGTAATGGGCGACTTGCTTTTTTTCGTTTTTTTTTTGTTTTTTCCAACGCGTTTTGGGACTTCCTTCCTTCCTTCCTTCCTTCCTTCCTTCTTCGGCAACAGAACCTGGAAAAAACCCAAAACCCGTTGGAAAAAACATCCCCCCCAAAAAGGGGTTCCTTCTGTCATTCTGATGAGAAATCCAACGGATGCTCTGAGGCTCCTGCTGCGCGCAGTGTTTCCTCGGCAACTCAGATCTGTGTCTCGTCTGTCTAGTGACTAGTGATTCCACGTTGTGCTTGTCAAGTCCTTTTCTGAGTAAAGTGCAAACCTACTTCTTAATACCATCCAAGCTTCTTGAATAGCAGCTGGCCACGCACCACATTTCCTGCGGCAGCAAAGGAGTCTATATATTCCACTAATCTGGTCCTAGGCAAGGATATGCAAGGATCAACCGGCCACATGATACTGTAATAATATATATATATAGCTTGATGCGCGATGCAACTGTCGAAAAAAAGAAACGCATCAAATACTGTTGGACATTGAGAGAGTCATGATCAACAAGGCAAAACAGTCACTTTGTTTACTTGATACCGCTGTTCATCCCATCACGATCTGTATGTGCGTCCTTCTGGCAAAACAAAGTCGTCGCTGACATCAATGTCGTCAAACGGCTTTGCCCTCAGTGACCGGACTAAGCAACTGCCCATCACATCGGATGAAAGGGCAAGCATGCTCATATGATTATGTGTTTCATTTCTCCTGCTGTCCAAAGCTATGTCTGAAATAAAAGGGCAACTGACAGCACTGTTGTGCAAGACCCCACACGATGAGTGTGGTGAATTACAATGGCCCAGTAGTGTATTACAATACTATATTATTCTTAATAGTTCTCCTGTTTTCACAGCCGTGTGAGTTACTGCATGTTTTGACCAAAGGAGTTTGCCCATATGTGCCATGACAAATCTTCGATGTCCACCCTTTTTTGGGCTCCAACGGTCACCATTTGGGCCATCTTCCTTTAAGTCTTTGATGGATACTGCACCCATGGCCCATCTCTTCGTGCAAACTTTTCTTGTCTGGTGATGGATTGTCCACCTTTGTGTCGTTTTGCTCCCATCAAGTCGTTACTATGTCTGCCCTGTGGCCTCTCTCTTTTCTCTCAGTTGCTACGAATGTAGCCGAAATAGCGCTGTTTGTGCAAGTAACAACACAAGTAACTGAGCAAAATAATCGAGGCACCGCTCATGTGCCTTGCCTCTGCTTATCTGCTACTACGATGCGTCACTGCATTCTAATGCAACAAGCTGTGCAGGGTAGCCAGAATCACACCAGCATTGACACCAAACAGTGAATCTCCGAATCGTAACTCCCGTTGCGCCACGTTCGCTCTCTCGCATGTCCTTGCTACAGAAATACTGGGGGGGACAAGATCGGGCAGTGAAGAAAACCCTTGAGCAACAGTCTTCACGGGAAGAAACATTAAAGAACACCCAGTTTACTATGACTCGAAACATTCAGAAGGCAAAGAGAATACCAGGAAAAAAGGCAAGAGGAAAGGAATGTCAAATCACTTCGAAATAAATACAACAAAGAGAAACGGATTGAAACTGTCAAATAACAGCATCTCCTCAAAAGCCAGCAGGGATCACAAACGGAGATGGGTTGAACCCAGCGCCGGACCTCTAAAGAAGCTTTATGTTTCTGGCATCTCCTGTCATCGGCCAGCGGAGCAATCTTTGCTGTTTTTTGGGCGTTGAAGAAGCGCGAGCTATCCTGCGTCCTACCTAGTTTCTAACTAGCTTACCTCTTCTAGCGGCTAACCCCCCCGCCTAAATATATATATATATAATATATGTATATATTATTCTTCATGCACGTGTTCCTTCTCGTGTCTCAAATCGCCCGTAGATCACAGTTTCAGATGTTTCTGGTCACTCTATAGTTCTTGGCATCGCATGGTGGGAGCTTCCGGCCCCGAAGGTTCAGTTTTGAGCCCGCCAGGTGCCCTGGGTGTTTGCCTTGTCCAATAAAGTTATTGGTCCTTTATCAGCCTGGGTCCTTCTTTTGTTGTTCTTGAAGGTATTGAAGTTTTGGACACATGCTAAACCTAACCAACCTTTTCCTAGGAGCGGTCTTTTGCATCTCTTTGCATTGCAAGAACACCAAGGATGCGGAAAACTGTCTTCACACCCAAGTACACCTTGCTGAATCTTGCTTGAGTAGTGAAGGTCGAGTTGCTCTATGTTCCAGTTGCTGCGAACAACGCGCTGGGACAAAACGCAAGGGCATACCCCGCTTTAATGTACTTGCATGCCAACAGGATCGTGTGGCAAAGTGGCATAGTGGAAGGAAAAGGGCAGCAGCTGTTGATTGATTGGACGTCTGATGATGTGGGCATCAACTATAAAGCGAGGCGTAAAAGAATCACACATTACACGCTCAGGTAATCGTTGTCAACAGCAGGCGCACTAAGCGACTAAGTCAAACCATCGCATCCAGATAAAACATTAGAAACAAGTGCATCGCTACTAGTAACAAGTGCCTTACTAGTAGTAACAATAAGCTATTAGAAACAAGTGCATCCTCAAACTGCCCATACCCCAGGGCACCACACGCTGGCATTCCCTCTCAGCAGACCATGGCTCAAGTCGAATTAAGATTGGTCAACTCTGAAAGCTTGGACCCGTACTGAAGTACAGTGATTGTATTTGAATACATTGAGAGTGGGTATTGTAGGTTTGGCTGAGGTGTCTGAAGGTGCTCTTTTGATCGAGAGTCAGCTGGAGCTTGTGTCTGCTCTGCTTGCGTGTTGTGCTCTCTCCCTCTCTCTCCCTCCCTCTCTTTCTGTCCCCCTGACTCTTCTGCGGCATCTTGCCCGCTATACTCCATGTACATTTGCATCCTTATCATCCTTGACTGCAGCAGGCATCCATTCAATACATCAACCCACAGAGTCAGTTCACATATCGTTTCTTTTTTTGCCAAGAATGCTTCGGGCACCGGGCACCCAAGTTTGTCGGACCAGCAAATTGAATTTGAACCCACCAACTGGCACAGCAATCCGAACAGGAGACACGTGCACAACATTGCCAAGAACAATACTTGAAGGGACCAGGTGGCCATCCCCAGAATCAGTTCCAGCTTCATTTTTGGTATGCTTCGCACTTCGAGAGGATGCACAAGGCTTCAACCTCGCAGGCGTCCAATGGAAAAAATTGCAGTTTGTCAAGAACACTAAAGTAGCCTGATACATTGCCTTCGTTTGCATCTAACTCAACCAGGCTGGGCAATAATACTAGCCAGCCTGCCTCAAATTAGGTCATGAAGGGCATTGTGATATGCCAACAAGCTAGAACATTCAATAGGGATCAATAGGGCAAGGACTTCTAAGTTGCTCAAACAATAACAGGAGCTTAGAACTTAGAACATCTCATCTTATAACCCTAGAACTTAGAACTAAACAAATACCCTTACTGCTTGGGGTGTCATCTTGCGCTCACAGGCCATGCCCAGTTCCCGGTCCCGTCGAGGTGCATCTCTCTCTCTCTCCGAAGCTTCAAGCGAATATGGCGCGATTCGCCACTGTGTCCTTGGTAGGATCTGAGTTTGGAATTTGCAATAAGACGAAGGAAGGGTTTGATTGCTCAGACTTTCTCACTTGAAGGTCTGTTTCTTTCAATGGCTTTCTCTCTGGGTGAGCTCAAGCACCATGTCTGTAGCTGAGCGGCGCAATTTATTTGCTACTAACCTCAATTACATAGTCCATGTCTTGCGCTGGGGCCCTATCTTGTTTAAATTACTTCAGTACCACAAGCAGGTCTTCTTTCGTCCTGCTTGCATGTTTGTCACAATATGTCAAGCAATAGACTTTACCTTCCCTGCAACAATCATGGACGTGGATGGCACGACCCCTGGGACGACCATTTTCCTCCACACACTGGGGGTCGATTGTTGCAGGGAGGGTAACGGAAATGATGAATGAAGGTACCTCGCTTTTTGAGGCCCTTGGGTGTCGTTCCCAAGCCAACTTAATGTGTTGATGCTGAACAACCAAAAAGGACAACCTCACCTTTTGTTTAGCATTTTCACAAATAAATGCAGTTGCGCAGCAGGACATGCTGTTGTGCACACGCTGTCATTGCATGGGATACAATCTGATTGCCCGAAGGACTGAACCGCGATCAATAAGCCGAAGGATTTGAAGGAGCCACTTCGATTGCTTGGTTGGATGGACTTGGATGGAGTTCGCCCTTTTGATGGGGATCGAATTCCTGACTGACAGACCAGGAATAAGCTTTCAGCCATGGTAAACATCGAGATTTAGATCATGGTCCTCACTTTCAAGCCTTACATATATAGGAATTTCGCAACGGTTCAAGTGTGGCATTGCGTGCCTAACCTTCTCTGTTCTTGTCACCCGTTGCCTTCCGTGAGTTCCCCTTTGGCCTCTTTGATCTTGCAGACCTGCCTCTACCAGCACAGTCCGGGAGGACTCACTTTTCATTGCCGGCGCCATGGGTTGTGAACTTGGGAGGTAGCATTGTGGATTCCTGGATACTTGGTTGTGGCCCAAAACCCGAACACTAGTTGACCCCACATCACCAAAAGCCTCTATATACCAGAAAGGTCAACCTACCATGGTCTGGGGTTGGGTCTTGACCCACACCTACTTAGGCCCGTCAATGACAGAAGCCTCGCACCAGAGCTTGAAGTTGGAGAGTTGGATCGCAGGAGGTTCATCTTAGAGGAGCTCATAGTAGCGTCCTTGCTCCTAGTAGCGACGCCAGGAGCCCCTAGTAGCGTCCTTGTTCCAGATAAATGTCAAGGGCATCATCAAATAGTTTTTGCAATACCAAAAGATCGTGGCGAATAGAAAAGTAACATCTGTCGAAAAGCCAGCTGCTTGTCAAACAGAGTTCCCAGCCAAGCTTCGATGCTAACTTGTCTGCCCAACAAGAAACCAAGCCCCAAGAACAGCACCGTTGGGGGCTTCTTTTTTGCCTGAATCGTGCAGCTGATCACTGTTACGCAAGATTACAATGTGCCGACACGCGCAATGGACGTCAGCTAGCTCTCTGTCTCTGAAGAACCCAAGAGCAACAAAAAGCTCCTGACAACCGTGACGCAGCATTCCCCAAGTTCACGCCTTTGCACCTTCTGGAGCCTTTGCCCATCCCATACCTGCAAGGCCACCCTCATTTAAGAAACACCAGGCTTGAACGGTCACAAACAAAGTGATGTGGCATTAGCAGTCGACTTTGTAACACATCATGTAATTATACTGTCTAGTGACTTAGGACTTACGGGTCTAGTGACATATTCGGCTGGGACAGCCAACTGCTGACTCATGTGCCTGGTCAAAAGGCGTGCTTACATGCGCTTACCCCCCCCTCAGGGAGCAATCAGAAAATAACATAGAAACATACAACTGTTGAAATCAATGTGTGAGAGACAAATCACATGCATCATGACATGGGCAGTTGGTCCCTTTTTCAGCAACCCTGGCTGGATTATCGTGGCTGGAAATGGCTGGAATTATCTTATGACACAGGGGTTTTAAGCAAAGGTTTCCAGCAAAAGTCCTTAGTAATTTTCCTAAATCCTTGTTTCTCATTATTTTTAGGTTTTTGTTCAAACATGCTCTGGAAGTCCTGTTTTGCAATATTCTCCCTGATGACTTAGGCCAGCCATGCTTTCTACCAGATATATATACCTTGCCTGATGACTTGGAACGCTGTAATTTTGAGGTAGCGCCGTTAACTCCTTAGTCCTTAGCATTAGCCTCCAGTATATATGTGTATATATATAGATACACACATGAATTGAAACAACATCTGTCCGGAAACTAGCTTGAATCTGCCCCACGCATGGTTCAAGGTCATTGGATCGTTGCGTACTCTTCAAACGAGTTCAAATGAAGGCTCTTGATGATCTTCACTAATGAACTGATGAATCTATGCAATCTTGAACCAAGAAACAAACGAAGCCTCCGTCTGTTTCGCTTGTAGACAACACAGCACCCGAAAACTAAATCACAACATATGTTTGCAGGTCAGTTGTGAGAATGTATGAACGTGAGTCATGAGGGTTTTTGAAAATCTGACATTGCTGAAGGCTTCTCTGCTTCTACCAATCCATCAGTTGCAAAACCATTGATTCAATGACAAACAGAAATAGGACATTCACAGGAATGACGTGCATTTTCACCTGGAGTTTGTCTTCTTGTCACGATTTGACAACACAGCCGGAGTTTGCCTCTAGTAGCTCTAGTAGAATCGCTTGCCTTGTTGACCTTCATCCATTGAGCTTCCCAAAGGCGAAGACAACAATTCTGCATCACAACCAGCAGATAATTCCTCAGCACCACTATAATTATGTTGGTCTGTCAGGAAAGCAACATCTTTGGATGCCACAGCCGTTTCAGGTCTAAAACGATTAGGCAGAGTCAGATATGCACCCTTCCTAGTTGCAGCAATCTTCCCAAAAGGTTTCCACAAATCTACGTATTCTCCGAGCATCCACGGTGGGGTAAACCATGCGAGCTGTGCTCAGGGTCCGTTGAGATGAAATGGCCTCACACAAGCGTACAAGTACTGTCAGCACCTGCCCTGGAAAGGAGTTGAAGATCAACGGCAAGAAGCAAACTCCTTTCCATTTCCAGGCAGCCTTTTTGCTGTTCAATTGAGGCTAGAAATGGAGTTGGAAAGAAACAATGCGTCTGGGAAAGTCTTTGACAGGAGTGCCTCTCAAGTGAGTCAAGCAACTCAAGAAGAAATCTACACAATGATCTTAGGACATCAAGGCAAAAACACTTGTGGTTTCGCGCTGGCAGCCTGGCCTCTTTGCCATTCACTCGCCAGGACACCTCGCCGGAACCATCATCTGCCAAGCGGCATTCGACCAGATCCTCAGAGCGCCACAAACAAATGCACAAAAAAAGTTACAAACGCTACCCATATTTTGCCTGCGCATATACTTTTTTTTTGCACGCCTTTTGGGACTGCATGAGGTTATGCGAACATCTGTCGCAGATCTCTCTGGCGCATGTAAACGCAGCGGCCTTTAGCCTGCTGGTCAGTACCGGAATGCCTTCCGATAGCCGAGTGCGTGCGTGGCACCGCGAGCACTCCAAGGTGTGGCCTGTACGCACCATGGTGTGCGATCCATGGCCTTCCCAAAGGCTGGCCTCCAGTGGTCCATGGTAGCATGGTTCACCCACAAACCGGCTGAAAGCTTCCTCGTTTGTCCTGGCTAAGATGTAGCACCGACAGACTGAGCACCGCAAGTAGGCACGGTCCAACTGCAAGTGATGGACTCCTTGCTGTGGGCCTTGCTGGGCAGCTATAAGGGCATGGATCATCTCCATCCTTGTCTGCTTCGGTGGACTAGGGCGAACTTCTTGTTGACATGGTTTGTCTGAGGCTTCCTTCAACTCGCTCAGGAGACTCTTGCTGTGATAGCGCAAACGGCACACGCGGCATTGGATGCCACTTCTGAAGACTTCCCATTGATGGCCCATGTGAGAGGTCTTGTGCAAAAGATCTTGCAGGATCTCCTTCTTTTGCTGGACAAGCGGGATCTTTTGTTGAATGTCGGCTTCCTTCCGGTGTAGGAAATGCTCTTTGCACCGGAGCAGAATGCTCATTCTCTCACCGGCACTGAGAAGGATGGAATGGGCATCATCATCGATGTGTGATTGCAAGTTGAGGATCTCCTTCGGTTCAAAGAGCTTGCCCGTGCTCTCAGCCACCTTCTGGGTGTCTTTCTGAGTGACTCGTCTCATATCATTCTGCTCCAGTTCAGCTCGGGAGAAAAGGAGAGGCCAGACATGATCGAAATCTTCAAATTCAAGACCCGTGAAAAGATCCGGAAAAGTTTCAAAGGCAACATGCGGCTTCCAATTCTTCCAAGCGGCTGCATCATAGAGTGCCACTGGAGTCTTCTCCAAGACATGCAGAGCAAGCTGCTTCATGGCATAGAAAATGGCTCTCTGTTTGGTGGCGGGACCAGGACAAATGCCAGTGATGGAGCCGACTTGCTGCTTGTTGGTGGTCAGGTGCACACAGATTGCGAAAGCAAAACGCTTGTGCCTTTTGTCACCACAAGTGGGTGCAACAGCGATGGAGCATATGTGCCCCTTCTGCAGCCTGAGGTGGCCCAGATCTTGCCAGACCCCCGTGCCTTCCAAGGTGGAAGAACCTTCTTCCGGCTCATAGAAAATGCGTTGAACCAAGCCTCTCTGCCATAGCTCGGGATCTGTGCCGACCTCCAAACGATTGGTCCATTCCTTGGAAAGTGGCTTTACCCTTCCTTGCCAAAAGGAGCACTGCCACAGAAGGTGGGTGAAGGTCAGCTCAACTCCGCACAAAGGACAATGTCCGGTGAGGCCATGCAAAGTGCCCTGGTGAAAAGCTCGAAGCCCTGTGGCTATGTTCTCGCTGGTGGTTCTCTGGATGTGCTGACTGATCATCCAATCCAACGGCCTTTCTAGGTCATGGCACCCATCGTACCTGGTCAAACGAAGGAGGCGCTGCCAACGAAATTCTTGAGTGAGCTTGTGGCGCAAAAGTGGCCACGGATCAGTCAAGCTGAGCACACAGTCCGGGATGCCCCCATATCCTGTTCGCTTCCATTTCTGACCATCAGAGATGTCGAAGTCGAGATCCATCATGTAGGCTTGAAGGGCCTGCAAAGGTCCAGAGACAACCTGCCACTTGTACTTGGCTTTGTGCAGGGCCCCCAGGGCAGTGTTCCAGCTTGTCCAGAACAAGTGTTGCTTGCTCTCTGGAAAGCCATGGTAAACCTTCCATATGGTGTGCAAGTGCTGGAGGATGATTGAATCTCCAGGATCAGGCTGAGAGGGATGCATGTCAAAGACAATGTCCACCGACCCAGAGCGTTGAAGCCTGAGGCCCCTGGCGGCCAGTACTCGCAACTGATGCCTCCTTTGTGGAGCCAAACCGTTGGCCTGAGCCCCCCAAGACATAACCGCACCGCTCCCTTGTGTAGCCGGTAGCGAATGCCCTGGGCTATACGCAGTCGATGCATGATGCCCACTCTGCCTTTGCCTTTGAGGAACCGCTTGCGGATCTGAGGCACCCGTCGACGCCGACCAGCCGTGGAATCCACCCCCAAATCTCGGAGAACATCGTAATGTTCCGGATCACCCTCTTGCAGCAGGGCCTTCAGGGCTTTGGCTGACTCCTTGGAGCTGGTGAGGAAGCCCGTCTTGTCTGTGTTTAAAACCAGGCCAACTTGCTCCATTTGCCACTTGAGAGTACGGAAAGCTCCAAGGGCCTCTCTGGCCGCGAAGTCAGCATCCCGGCTGTGGATGTCGAAACTGACATCATCAACCCATGTCTGCAAAGATGCTGCAGGGTGTGCTTTAACCAGCGCTTCCAGTGGTCGATAGAGGATGAGCTTGGAGATGGCTGGGGCTTGAGGACATCCTTGAAGAATGCCATTGTCATAGTGCCTGCTGTTACCATTGATCCCTTCCGCTTGCAGAGTCCGGGGACCCGTGTACAAGTCCAAGGCAAACTTGAGATGCAGCGGGGGATAGGCCAAATCCCTGGCAGGGTCAATGATCTGATCCAGGTCAACGTGATCATAGAAGCAAGTGAGATCAGCGAGGCAGGTGACCGTGTGAATACCTTGATGTCGAGCAATTTCAGCATGAAGCATTCTGCCAATCGCAATGCTCAAACAATCTCTGCCTGGGCGAGCTTGATCCCATGGGAGCTTTTCATCCAGAGAGTATTGCCATCGTTGCAGGTCGGCTTTCCTGTAAGAACACCAAACCCGGTAGATGCAGCTGGTCAGGGCAATGGGCCTCTCCACTTTGCAGTTCTTGGGAATGAGCACGATGTTGGTGGCTCGAAGCTGGACAGCCAGCTCACCCTCCCTTTCCATGGTGGTCAGGAGGTCTGCCAGTTTCTCCACAGCAGGAAAAGGCAAACGCCGTAGAAAATCATAGGAGATGCCATCCGGACCCGCGGCCTTGTTGGGAAGTCTTCTCAAAAGCTGCTGCAGCTGATACGATTGAAAGGGAGGGAGTTGTTGTGCTTGATCGATTGCAGCCTGGCGAAGAAGGTCCCAGGAACGCAGCGGACGAGGGTCGTCCCGAGGCTGCCAAATGGCTCCCCATTGAGCCTCTCGAGCTTGTAGTCTTTCACCGGCAGGGAGGTGCTGGAAAGGTCTTTGCCAAGGGATGTCTCGCTGGCGGAGGCTGCGAAAGAGACCTCGTAAGCCCTTCTCATGGGCTTTCTCAAGCCAGAGACGGTATTCATCGTTGGTGCTGCTGAAAAGCTTCTGTTGGGCTAGTTGCTCTTCTTCCGCAATGATCCGACGAAGCTCGGTGGGCTCATTCGTAGGGTGCTCAATCCAATGTCCAAGCAAAGCCTTGAAGAGATCTTGACTCATGTGCTCCGAGGCATGAGCCTGCAAACCATCCATCATGTTGAGGAGGTCATTGGCAACCCGTCCATGTTGGGTCTGATGTACTACATTGATGCGGACCTTCATCTTTTCCCAGAAGGCAAGATGGCCTTTTCTCCACGTCAGAGAACGGCCTTGATCCACCAGCGGAGCTTTGTACAGGTGAATCCTGCTACCTCTCCCCGTGGTGGGGTTGTGAAGGAGCTGGGTGAGGTACTTCTCGGTTTGTGTGGCCCATCTGGCCAAGTCGGAACCCAACCCCGTGATGGGTTGGCCCATAATGTGAAAGGGCCCATCATCTTCCCAGAAGGAGGTCCATGTCGCCGGCAGCTGCATGGTGCGTCCAATGGGAGGGAAACGTTGAAGCTGTTGAACTTGGATCTCCGCTTGGTCACAATGCAGATCCACCATGAGACCACAGTGAGGCTTCCATGGGACGTCCCAATCCACTTGAAGGGAGACACAACTAACCAAAGCTTGGGAGACCAGCAACTAGTCAATCATGGAGCCTTGAAGGGTGGTGGAGCCTGCTGGGCTAATGATCTGAGCTTTGAACCGACTTTGTATGACGGTGGCCGCTAATGCCTCCGGCTCATTTTGCCAGTCGCCACCCACAATGAAAGGTGCCTGAGTCTGCTCAAGGAATGCCAGAAGGTTGCACAGGATGGACGCATTGAGGGGTGACTGCAGAGTTTCGCCCGTGCGCAAGTAGAGCTGGATGAGGAAGAAAGTGGTGCCCTGTCGTTGAAGGCCCAAAGCCATCCAGCCATTGCCTTCTTGGACATAAGAGTGGGCCACATGGGTGAGGTGTCGAGTGCCATGGAGGACAAGGAAGCCTCCTGTGTTGCCTCCTCTGCCCGTGGGTTCCGCCGGAAGGCCATGGCTTTTCCAGCCTCGAGTGTTGAAGTATTGTTGGGCTTCTTCCATCTTCTTCTGCCCAAGATGCGTTTCTTGGAAAGGGAGGATGTGTTCTCCTTTGGTCCAAACCCAATCTTGCACCCTGCGTCCAAAGGAAGTCACATTGGCGAACACAAAGTGCAAGGTCTCAGAGTGGTGTCTGGCTCTCTTTGGCTGACTCGGTTCCAAAGCTTCAACAGTGTCCGGAACCAGTTCTCCACTGCATTCATGAACCAACCATACTTGCGCAATTTCTTGTCGATGGGTGTCCAGCAAGTGAGGGAGAGGAACCGGAAAAGTGCCATCATCCGCATACCAGTAAGCGTTGTCCATGGCATGTATGGCCACATAATGCCCATTTTGGTGTCCTGTGCCTTTGTGCAGAATCATGCTGACGATCTTGTAGGTAGCCATATGCACATTGATGCCATCCTCAGAGAAGGGAATGGTGATGGTCGTGGAAATGTCCAATGGACGATTGTGTTTGGTCCATTGGCCCTCAGCAAGTATGGATCGTTGGATGTGGATGATGAGGCCCCCTGGAGTGCCGTACAAATATTGTCCCCCTTCTTCTTCTGCCCAAAGGTTGACGATGTCATCCAAGGAGATCGGAGAGTCACCGCCAGGACAGATCATGTTCAAGGGAATTTGCTCACGCTCATCCAAACGTCCATCCGTGGTGACATGATAGAACTTGCCTCCAAAGAAGGTGCCATTTGCCAAGCTTGCCAAATGACCCACAAAGTCCCCAACATCAGCTTGTTGGCCCTCTTGAAAGTGGTGCCAAATGGGCTCCAAGTGGGTCAAATCCCGGAGGGAAATGGGTTCATTTTCCTCCAGAAAGGAGCGTACAGCCTGGTGTGTGCGGCCCCAGGCCATGGAGGGACCTTCAGCATGTGCTCCTGCCCAACTCCAACACCGGAAAGCTGAGTTCCCAAAGCAGAGATTCTGGGAGTTGAGGAGCCGACTGGTCAAAGCCTGCCCAATCACATAAACGTTGATGGGCAAATGTGGAAGGTCCCCTTGAAGTGCAAGGAGCTTGTGGAGGACGGTTTCCATGCGTTTGAGATCGACGAGAAACTGTTGACCTTGTGCACGCTTCCACCCAGCCTCAAAAGCTCGGCAAGATGTCCACAGGTCATGCTTGCATAGATCGTATAAGGCCTGCTGGCCTGGTGTCAAAACTTCCTCATGCATTGGATGGTCATCATCATCCATGATGCTGAGCAAGAGCCTGGCCAGTCTATCTCGTGGGGTCCCGTGATTGGCAGTACCCGTGAAGGTCCGCCCTGAGGTAGTGGAACTCGGTGCCCCTGGATTAGACTGATGGCTCTCGGCGGAGATGGTAGAGTGGAAATCACCTCCTCTCAATTTGAAAAAGGTAGGCTGCGAACGCCAGGGTCCATAGGTCCCGCGGCTACCCTGGTCCTCGTTCGAGCCTGGAACTGCGAAAGGATCAAAGGAGTTGACTGTCCCCTTGCAACTCAATTGAGAATCCCCGTGCGGCTGATGTGATTCAGCAACCCCTAGAAGGCTCACATCCAAGGTGTGAGCATTGACTGCACTCTCCTGAAGGTTACCCACACGACTGGGTCTCAGCTGTTTTGCGACGCTTGTTCTCCTCCTCCGTAGGGTCCGTTGGAGGTCGCTTCAACATCAAACTGAGCTGAGCCTTTTGATCAGCTGTGAGATTGACACCTAAGGTGGTGATAAAACCAGCTACCGCGTCTGGAACGGTGTCTTCCATGGGCTGACCATCCTGGAGTGCTTCGGCAGGCTTCTGTGTGTTGACCAAGGCCATATAGGCAGCACTCGTCGTGTTCAGGGCGGACTGCTCAGCCTCAAGCTTGGATTGAAGGGATTTCATGTCCTCCAGCATGTCCGAGTATGTCTTCTTCGTGGAGTCAATCTTGGCCTGGAGGACCTGTTTCCGATGGGACAGGTCTCTCAAAGCGGAGACTTGGGACTTCAACTTCAAGGCCATGTCCTTTTCTGTCTCTGGCGGCGGACGCGTGATGCGTTCCACCAACTCCTTGACAGCAGTGGGCAACTGAGCCATGTTCTCCTTGAGGACGTCAGTCAGCTCAGGTTCCTTCTCTTGGGTGGGAGGTTTGATACCGAGCTGTTCCAACTGAGCTTGAAGCTTGGAATCCAGGGGGCTCCATGATGTTGTGAGCAGGTCCGTGGTAGCTTTGTGAACTTAGCCTATTTTGGAGCCGCGATGTCCTCCTAACCCCGGCGGAGGTGTCACTGGCTTCTGGCGAGGAGCGAACCTTCCTTGAGATCGGGTAGGTGATCTTCGGGAGGAAGGGTGACTGCTGTATCCTTGAGGAGGTCGTGACCAGGCCAAGCCACATTGTCGACAGACATAACCTTCACAAATCTTGTCTTCCCAAATCCTGTTAGGGCATGCAGGTCCTTGGCAGCACTGGTACGACCTTCTCCATGAGGAGGATCTTGAGGACCACTCCATGCGCTGCCGCAGAGGCCACCCTCCTCAGGTTCCGGGATGTTCAGCTCGAGGTCGCGTGGTGCGAGGATCAACAGGGAGGAAAAACCTGCGCCTCGAGCCGAAAACTTGAGCCGCCTGTGCATATACTGTGTATATAATTGTATATATATATATACACACTACATAAACACGCGCAAGTACAAAGAGATGTGGACGCAGGACACAAACAAACAGAGCAGACGGGCACTAGACAGCTTTGTCATCTGGTGAAAACACCTTGCCAAGTGCGGCAGGATGGCCCGGAAGGGCATCCAGTCTTTGGTGAACGGTGGGGTCTTTTCGTGTTAGGCTCTTGAATGCCAAGATGCACCGGGCTGGAGCTTGCCTGATGGAAAGATCAATATAGGCCGAGCAAGTTCTATACGTTTTGCAAATTCTTCTGGAAATCTCTCCGGGTGAACAAAGAACACGAGTCAAAGGTTGAGTCAAAGCTTTGTCACATAAATATGCAACAGCTCAGTGGATCTAATTGAATCAAGAGCTCAATAATATGGTATGCATCAAAACCAGATTCTACTCAAAGCCACAACACGGAGTTGCTGAACAACGCACAAACTTGCAAAGACATAGGAACACGTCGAAGTCCTGACACCTTTCTTGAGGTGTCCAGAAAGAAACAGAACAATATCTATAGAAACTCTTGTCCCCAACCTCTTCAGTTTGAAGATTGATGAACCTTCAGTTCTTTAGGACCATGGCAGTGGCAGGAATCTGAAGTTCGCCAATCTCTCTCAGGCAAATCATACAATTGGGTTGGAGGAGGCCATCGCATGCCATCGCTATTAATTAGGTCGGAGGCCATCGCTTCTAGGTTGGAGGCCATTGCAATTAGGTTCCCATTGCTATTGAGTTCCCATTAATATGTCAGGATTGCCCAGCGGCCCTAGTGGCCGCGTTGCTGTAGCATCGTCCGCTCTCCAGCCAACACAGTCTCCCGTTTTCCGGCGCACTCGGATGCCTTCTGAAGTGCCGTAGGCAGCCATGTCCTCGCTGAAATGAATGCATTTGCAAGAAAAATTCTGCAGCACATGGAGCAATAACAATTCGAATCACATTAAGTCACTGTATATATGCAAACACAAAACCACAAGGTCATCAGCATCTCAGTCTTTTTCAACACAGGGGTGACGGAGCATGGCTAAGCTTGCCTGAAGCCATTCGCGACGGTACACAACCCAGGATACCGCTACTAGTACAAAGTGCTTTAAGAACTTGTCACGCAGCTTCCGTGAACTGTTGCTTCCGCGTGTTCGTCACAAACTAAGGCTGCACTGGTGTCCTGAGTGAGGCGGGCACCCCGAGGTGCCAAACCCACCGAGCCATTGCATGGCAAACGGCCTGACAAGAATCTGAAACGAAATCATGCCATTTGGACATGCTTTAGTAAAGCCAAGAAAAGTGTGACGCTTCTCCAGTGTAATGCAGCAAGTTTGCCAAACTCCTCATGCCTTGGCACTACGAAACTTAAAAATCAAGAATGATCAAGAAACGTGGACAGTACATCTGGCCTGGCCCAGATGGAAGCAGTCTCACCTTAGGCAAAGAATGCATCCACTGCATCCACATCTCACATCCCCCTCTTGTGGCATCTTGTGGCCATGTATCTTGCAGTTCTTTATTTCTTTCTGACCTCACAAGGATTCAATTGCTGCATTTATCAACAATGCCCCCATTGGCGCACACGCCATCTGCAGATCCATGTTTCAAACATTGCTTGCAGAAAAGAGTATTTTTCTATAACATGTATGATTTGAACCAAGCCCTATGCTTTAGACAGATTGGATAGTTATTAAATCTCTCCGGCACTTTACATTCAAAAGGTAAGGCAACTTCAGCGGACACTACAATGACATTGCACAGCTCAGCTATTCGTGAGGGCTCCAAATGCATTTGTATTGAGCATGTTCTCCGACTACTAGGAGCAAAGGGCATCGCTACTAGGAGCAAGGATGCTACTAGGGGCTCCTGGCCTTACTACTAGTAACAAGAGGGCGCTACTAGGAACAAACCGAATTAAACTTGAACTCTATCAACAAACTAAGTTCACTCACGCTTCGAAGCAGTGGCATTTCCACATTTGATTGAACAGGCTGGGTGATGAACCAGGAAACGGTCACCTTGACTGACCGGCCTCGCGCTGAAGGAACCCCATCAAAAAAGGCGGCTGAGCTATGCACTCTTCAATCACCTTAGAACCTTCTAAGCCTTGTGGGGCTTCCACTGCGGAATGCAATGTGCTTGCAAAAGAAACTAGAGTATGCTAATAGCCCAAGCAAGCTAAGTCATACGAGAAATAATCAAACGCTTGAACAACAGGATCATTGATTGGCTCTAGATACCTGCACTCCACCCGTCAGCGACTGCAGTCATGTTCCAGCCTTAACTTCAGCACAAAATTGGATCCATTAAAACTGAAAACCTCCGTCTGTGGCCAAACCACCCCATGCGCTCGCCTTTAGAAATGGACGTCACTATAGACGTCATATCTTACTGCTAGAAACAAGAACAGTATCAGTATTACAAATTACAAGTATCTCAGTAGTTACTATAAAGCCACTCCATGCACAATCAAACAGCAAAGGGGGTTGCTCGGGCGTCCTGTCAGCTTGTGCCCATCCAACGGAAGATGTTGGTGCCTTGGGAGGGTGGCCAAATTTGGAAAGCAAACGATGTGGTCTCCATGCTTTGTTCATACACTCAAAATCAGCCAAAGAACAAAACATAACAAACATCTGGGCATGGGAGGTGCGCCCTAACTTGCCTATATTTCCCTGTCCGCATTCCATGTCTGGGTCGGTGTTTGTTTCAACTTGCCTGAGCAATGAAGTTGCCATCGCGCAGCTGCATTGGCTGAGCATCTGAAAGACCTGCGAAAAGGAAGCACCGATGTGACGGCTTCAAGCGGCTTTCACAGCACTTTCCAGAGTAATTCAGTGAGAAAGTGCTTGAATTACTGAATTGAGGCGCTTTCACTGAAAACGAAAAGAAATTGTGCCTTGTCCAGTCCAAAGTGCAGAAGCATCGGCATTCATGCCTGGCCCGAGCATCACAAAGGTGCTTCGTCTCAGATTCAAGAAAGGCCTACAGTCTACCAGGAAAGAAAAGAAACAACACAAAAAAGTACATGTTCAAAAGATCTAGTGTCACACTGCACCTGTCTAAATTCTAAATTCTAGATAAATTGCATCCCAGTTTTCGTGACAGCCCCCTTGCTCATCGGCCATGGATTCCTGATTTAACAGCGACACAGTTCCTTACAAACTTGGTATGATTGCTGGCATCGTGTGTGTGTGTGTGTTTCCTGCGTTTATGAAGTACTTTTGCCGTTAGCTGGACTTGTTTTATATCAAAGCCACCACTGATATGCCAAAGCACCTGATGGTTCAGGCAGTGCAGTGACAATATCCTTGGCATCGAAGCATCGGGTTTCAACATCACGGAACCGCCCAGAAAACCCAAACCTGAACCCCCAAACTATCCCAAAAGCGATGTGTAGGTGCTGTGTAGTGTGTTTTTTGAAAAAGAATGCAAAAAAGGTGCTTGAATCCTCGCCCCTCCAGGCCCGAGCAGCAAAGCGATCTTGACCATAGGTCTTCTGCCGGCCCGGCCGCATACCTGAATGTGTCTTGCCATTTGAATTCTACCACAACACTTTGTACGCCTCATTTTGTCTAGGTTTGAAGAGATTCAGAGTTCCCAGACTGAGGGCAAACTCGGAGCCATCCTCCGCACGAAGCAGCAAATCGACTGCCTCGGCCACAATGAAACACTACGCCAAAGGAGTGGGCCAATGGCTGGAAAGCAAACCGAAACGTTCTCTTGAAACTATATACTGAAATGTACTGAACTGTTGACAAAGCCCACTGCAATCTACGTGAAACCTGGACGAAACCTGACTTTCGAGTTTTCGGATGAAGCTGCAATTCATGCAGCCACAATTCATGCAGAGTGTTTGTCTGGTCTTGGCCCAACAGAATCGTGCACGGTAGCTTCCTCCACGCCCTTCCGCCTGTGCCTTTTGCAGGCCAAACTCTTGAGCTGTATCTCTACGAAGCTGGTCGTAGCTCTCGAAAATCGCGGAAGGAAGGCCAAGGCCTTCATACGAAGTGTGTCCCAATCGAAACACTTCAGACCTGTTTGCATAAATTAGCATTTGCACAATAGAATCGGAGAGATGGGGAGCGTTTCAATGTAACTTACAACCAGAACCAGAAAGGTCACACATCATAGACATATATATATGTGTATATCAGGATTCCCTAGACACTCTTTCAAAACCCAAAACTAGGAAAACTTTGGAAAACTTAGAAACACAGCAAGGGCCTCCAAAGTGTTTGTAGGCATTCTCCATTCTAAAGTGGGGAATGATTTTAGGTCTTCATGTTGAGACCAAGATGTTCACCAGCCACGCAACGGTTGTATAAACCAAGCGTTCATGATCAACACACAAACTTCGAAGACTCCTACCAGACTTCAAAAGCCCTTCCAATGATGGATTTGACTTGGCCCGTTCCCACCTGTTGTGCCAGTGTCCAAGACTGCAACCAAAGGCGTTGGCAGGTCAACAGGTTGTCCGGCCACTCGCAAAGCTGTTGCCTGAGGACATGATACCGTGAAGTCAATTCTTGCAAAGTGAACCAAAATCCATCCATTTTTGACGTTTTCTTGGCTGTCAATGTTTCCTTATCTTTCCATATGTTTCCTTCAACTTTGCCTCAAGCCTCTATCAATGTCCTCAGTCCCCTCTTCTTTCTCGATCGAAGCTCCATCTCGTTGGCCTCCATTGCATAGTACCGAATTGGGGCTCCATTGCGCCTGAGATCTACCAGCCGCACCTGGGAAGCTGACTCTTGTCGATCCTATCGAATCCTGTCGGCTCACTGCACTCGGAAAGTGCTTTTTGTTATTTCGCTCCGGAAGGGTGGGCCACTAAGACGTTGTAGCTTGAACACACAACTTCACAGCCGTTGAACGTGAACACTACCTCCCACCCAGCCATGTGTGCCTTTCAAAGTTGCCAGAAAGTTGCCTACTCTTGGGAGGCAAGCCCACTCCCAGGTTCGCGCCTGAGACTGTCCGAAAGATTCTCGACCAGAGGCCAGAGGTGTGGTGTCCTGGCACCTGCAAGTCTCATACTGTGGCCTGTAGGAGTTTGGCTCGTCCACGAGCAGTTCGGTCTTGACCTTTCCGGGATTTGTATGGGCGTTGCAAATGGAATTGGCGAGGCGTTCCTGTCCTCTGTGTCAGATTTGTTCCAGTCTGGCGCGCACGTCAGCTTGATAAAGGATTGGCCAACAAGCTCGACCGTATACGTCTGAGAACCGGCCCAACAGCTTTTCGTTTCCTGGATGGGGGTATATTGTCGATCCTGTTCTGAACACCATGAAACATTTTCTCCAAGCCACAACATGAGCCCGTACATCTCCACTGGCACAATGTCACCACTGCGAAGGCCTTTCATCTTCTTCTGGAGCCTGTGTTGATAGGGCCCCACATTGGCAAAGTCATTGTAGGGAGCTCCTCCTCATCTTCCGATTGATGGGAAGCCGCCTTGTGCCATTTTGATCTTGCAGCCAACTGCTGCTGCCAGCACCCAAATCAACACTGTGACAGCCAGCAAGGTAAGCAAAGAACAGGGCACGACCGAAGGTGATGCCGCGAGGGCAAGGGCCGACATACCAAAATGAAAGACCAAAACTGGTCTCCTTTTTGCTCAAGGTGCAGAGCTAAATCAACCCCATCCACCAAGCTCACCAAACGCCAGTTGTAACAACCACACTGCGTGTTTATACCAACAAGCAAGTAGTAGCAGTAGGTAATACTGCTGAGCTTAAGTAGCTACTTATGCACGTGGACGCACTCTTCTCAGGCTTGACTGATTTGGTAAATACATTTCTGGGGAATCTTATATAACTACCGTGTATACTGATTCTCAGCTTTGCACTGCTGGCGATGTACCTGGCAATCTCTCTCTCTCTCTCTCTCGAATCCTGTGGGTTTCCAAGCGTTCAGCATGGCATATCTCCACACATCGTCGTAATTGTTTTGTCGTTCAATACACAAACAGACTATGCCAAACATAGACTATGCGAATAATGTCCATATACCGTGTTGAAGTTGAAGCTCCAACCACAATAACTAGTACAAACGGCCTCAAGCTATTTGCACACACACACACAGCTGTACAACATATTCTGTCATGCCTGCAGCAGGTGCACCGCCTGAAAGAAGCAGTCGCTCCTGCGGATCAAGAAGCAGCAAGGAGTATATAGCTACTGCTGAGTCTAAGAGTCTTGTAAACTTGAGCCAAAACCATAAAATCCCCTGCAGGTTCTTTCGACGTGCCCACAATGGGAAGTACAAAAGCCGTGATCGGGTTGCTGAAACGTCAAAAACATCCTATTGAAGTGAGTCAGTCATACTTTGCTGCAATGGTGTTGAGCCCAACGGTTCAGTGAGGTGCACAACAAGCGATTGTGAAGAGTAGATTCCTTCATCGGTCCTGTCCAGGAGACCGCAGGTCAACAGTGACAGTCCTTTCGCAGAATGCAGACCGACCCTCAGACTGACATGGACATCAATTTGTCCAAGCTTACGAATCTCAAACAAAAAATCTTGAGGTAGAGCGGTAGAGCCACATCGGAGTGCGACAATGATATATATAATATATATATATATATATGTCCCGTTTCAAACTGATCTGATGATCAGGATCCGCTGGTGCTTGTTTTGACCACATTCGTTTACACACGATTGAAGTTTGAACCTTCAGGTTCATGGAAACTCCTCACAGAGGTTTGGCCAAGAAGTGTGGGTCGGATCCTGCCACGGACGGACAGGCCGCGAGCATTCTTTGAACTCTGCCAGCATCAAAGGTAAAGGAGGCATAGCAGCACGGCATTGATTTCAAGTTACTGCAAAGAAGTTTGCAAACCCAAAAGAAGGAGTGGAAGTTTGAAGATCTTTTGAGACAGAATAAAGAATACCAGGTGATCTCTAGCAAAGCTGTGTAGCGATCCTGGGGGATTTGTCCCGCACCAGGCCCAAGAAAGCGCCACCTCCGTTGCCACCGTACGACTCCACCTCAAGACAGAAAAGTGGAAAATCAAGCTAGTAGCTTCTTGTTCCTAGTAGCGATGCCAGGAGCGCCTAGTAGCGTCCTTGCTCCTAGTAGTACGGCCAGGAGCCCCTAGTAGCTTCTTGTTCATAGTGGCGAACTTGACGTTTGAACGAGCCACAAGCGCATTCTCAAAAGAGCACGCCCTCTGGACCTTGCTTCTCTCTCATGTACTAGCGTCACTTGTGGTATCTGTTTTGATCAGTGTAGCAACTGATAATATATATCCAGAAGCTACTAGGGGTTCCTGGCCCTACTACTAGGAGCAAGGACGCTACTAGGGGCTCCTGGCATCGCCACTAGGAGCAATCTTGCTTCTAGTAACAAGAAGATACCAGGAACAAAGGGCATCGCTACTAGGAGCAAGAAGCCACTAGGGGCTCCTGGCCTAACTAACTACTAGTAACATGTCTTCAACTCGATATTTGCTTGGCTCGTGGGGATGCAGGGCAACCGATGGTCTTTCCTTGTGGTTGTGCTGTCTGGTCGCAGGAACGTGTCCTGTTTTATGAATGAATTTTTGTTCTCTGTACAATATTGCCAGAACCATTGCCTCTAAAGCTTCAGGGCTATCACAGTTTCTCAAACTTCCGGAATGTCGAACATAGCGCAGTGCTTGATGCTGGGCCGGAGCAATGGGCCGCTTGCAGCATTTTTGCTGGAGTTCTCTGGGCATTTGTTCATAAGTTTGCAGGTAGCTGTGGATGATGCAGGAGATGTTACAGTATATAGCTTTGTGGTGCCAATTCTTGCAGTTGTCACACAGAATTTGAATTTGACAGGAATCTCTTCAGGTTGTTCCCACGCCAAACTTTCCAGCCAAGCAAGTTGCTAAAAGTTATTTCCTTCGCTAATTTCACCTCTGTCGCGCAGAGTCCGTATTCAATAGAGTAATACAGGAAGAGTCGTGGGTTTTAAGGAAAGAATGGGTGAGTAGCTGCCCATAAGCTTGCCGATGACATGACCAGCCCATTTGTTACATCTGGACCAACCTCCAAGCAAAGGGTGTCTTTGACCTGAAGGAAAAAAAGGTATGTTCTGGCCTGGCCGTTGGAGTGTACGATACCAACTTAAAGTGACGGGAAACCAACGCAATTGCCTAAAAATCACCAACTCCATGCCTGTCACAACAGGAACTGGGGAAAAATGGGAGAGAGTCATGCAACCAATTGTTGGCCTCCAGCATGGCACCGTAGGTGACAGACCTCAATGGAAACACCCACACAGCATGTCTTTCACGTCTCGGCGTGAAGGTTTCTCAAAATCAAGACCTTCATGGACATGGAGGTCAGCGTTAGTGACCATGTCAGCAAAAGAAATTCCACGAATAGTGCACTTCCACACGCCAATCTTCCAATTCTCAAGCCACCATGGATGTTCAAGCAACACCAAGTCTCCAACCCAAAGTTGAGATTGCCCAGTGCCAAAGAACCCCTGACATGTTGCCATTGGCAGTTGCCAAGCTTTGATCAAAACGTGACAGCAACGAATTGATAGTCTTGACTTTTTCGGAAGCACGTTGACTCTTCTGTCGTTTGCTAACTACAGTGTGCTCATGAGGACATTTCACAAGAGTTGCACAAGAAGCATATTGTCAATAAATATATATATATATACAAGAATCAGCTACGATTCAATGGCGGGCTGCCCGTTTTGCATGACTTTCTCCCACCGGGGCACACCTCTTCCAGCTTACGCGTGCCAGGCCAGCAGCAAACAACTGCCAAGAGAATGAGTTCTGCGAAACCCAAAAGGCTCACCTCTAGGCTGGAATTCAGCGGCCATAAAGCACGCACAACAAAAAGCTATCAGCCTCAAACATGTCATGCACGACTCAAAGAATCTCTGTCCTTTCTCCACACCTCATCAGTGTCCTTCAAACCTGATGGTTCTCCTGCTTTCCCGGAGGTACCTCAGAGACTCCGAGCGTCTCAAAGCATACAAGGCATACCTGGATCAACCCTTTGACGCTGTAACACCAGGCTGTTCACCTGGCCTTGTTTTGTGCAAATCTTATCAAAGGCCAAGGACATGGCAGCCCCAGGCCCTGCAATAGGAGGCACAGCTGTCACCCTCGCAAGTGCTTACCTCAACTTTTTGCAGTGTCAGAAGGGATTTAGGATAGCGAGGCTAGGAAATTAAACTTGTCGCTCAGTGCACATGCTTCAAGCCTGCAAACTCCTTGTAAAAACTCATGCATCAGCTTACATATTTATGCACAGGAATGCACAAAAGATCAAAAAAGAACCCTGTTTCAATGTTCTCTGTAGTATCATGGTTCCTGCTGGCATTTTCCCGGAGCATCATCTGCCACCTTGATCAGTTGATGTATGCTTGCCCGTGCAAGGCGTTGGGGAAGACCTGAATAATCTCCCTGGATCTTATCTTGTCAGCACAAAGGTTCGCCACGCAGCCAATTCCTTCCTGAAATTCCCTCAAATCTCCCAGGCACAAAGGAATCCCTGGAAAGATCCCGCGGGCTGTTTTCGTGGGAGAGGGCTAACCTTGCTGACCGATTCCTTGCCCCAGCTCCACACCTGCAATTGCAGGATATTGCAGGTCTGTGTACTTTGCACTAGACCTGGTAAGCCTGTAGATTGCGAGAAATTCCGCAAGCACCTTTGCAGAATATGATAGGATTGAGGTGACCCACACTTGGCCCTTCAGGTGGCCGAGACTCATTGCATCATCGTGGGCGAATCCCTAAATGGTCTAGGATCCTGGACTAGACCAAAGGATGGTGGCTAGATCATTATGGTCTAAAACCTACTCAGAATATGGCTGATAGCACTTCACCTCACCTCGACCAGTGTGTCATTGTTTGCAAAGAAATACAGAGTAGGAGAGACAGTAGACTTAGAGAAGGAGGGCTAGACTCCAGAATGTTTAGCGAATCATCATGGCTGGCAGTTGGATTGTCTCACCGGAGGAGCAAATGCAACGCATGTAAGGCATTTAGTTTCCGCAGAACATGAATGTGTATAAAAGCTGGTTCATTAATTTCTATCCCACCAATCTTCCCCCTCGAACCAACCTGTTGTTGAACTTCTCGCTCTGCTACTTCTGACAGCAAGGTGTCAGAGAAGGTGTCCAAACAATTGCCAAAGCAAGGCAAGGAGTCTTTTTTGCACTCCGTTCTCCTGATGCATGAGTGCAAACATTAGGCAAACTTTATCAAACATGCTTGGTTCTATATATACATGCGTACATACACTGCACTCCTTCTGCACTGCTGGTCAGCGTGGTCACAACTCAGAACATCGCATCCTCCTTTTGGGGCACCTTTAGCAGCTTCACTTCTGCTAAGGAACGATGCAACAAGCGTAGCTGTGTCAAAAAGCTATAAGTCTATAGTGCTTCCCCAGTCATGGTATGGCTGGCAATCGGATCGGTTTTAGCAAAAAATTGCATATATATATATATATATATTTTTTTCTTTTCTTTTCTTTATATAAGGCATTTAGTAAACTTACTTGGCCAAAAATGCCAATACTGCGTAGTTGGATGTATCGACTCCCAGTCGCCTCAGCAGCTGGCCTTGGGCACCAAATTCGTTCAACAGAACCAATTCAAAAGAACAGGCCTCTAGTTCTCCACGTAGACTGAACATATTACAGAATCTCTTGGTTTCTTCAGCACATCAAGAAAACAGAATACACATCCCGGTTTTACATCAAGGTTGCGGCCCAATCAATGCTAGCGTGGTTGTACTCTTACGTACAAAAACCAGTTGATATATTTCAGATAGGGGAGGGCTTAAGGGCCCCCCCTGTGAAAGACCCTAGGAATACTTTAAAATTATTCTGACCCCCCTTGAGTTAGTTTTCAAAAATTATTCTGGTAACTGGTTGAGTTCCAGGAATATTTTTTAGCTTTCTCTATATCTTCATATAAAAAAACATATCAACACAGCGACTCACACAGCAAGAGCAATCTGACATAATCTGACTCATTCTGATGAACCGTTTTTATCATCAAATCGCCATATTGTGAAAGACTTCGACATGGCTGCAAAATGCTGCCAATCTAAAATCTAAATCTGAACATTGGTTTTCCTATGTTTTCCTTGGTTTTGTACATGGCCAGCGATTGCTAGCTTCTTGTATTCCTTATATATCCTTATATATATTTGTTGTTTCTTGATGTTTCTTGTTTGAGCCTCTCACTCGCGTCCAGCTGCTGACTTCAGATCATCAAACGTCGCAACTTGAGTATTCTTGAAAATTATTCCAGGGGGCCCTATGACTAGCCCTTTGATAAAATATTAATCCACCAAAATTATTCCAAAAAAAATATTCCGCTATCCCACAGGTCCCCTGGAATAATTAAATAAGCCATCCCCTATTATTTCAGCCCACTATGCTGGTATGCTGCCAAAGAGCTGATTCTGCTTCCGACTTCTGTATGCACTGGGTCGGGTTTCGGGCTTGGTGGATGAGTAATCTCCTCTGTCAACAGTGCTCATTCCTTCTGTTTCTGCAGATGCAGGGGCAGCAGGTTGAGTCTGATTCTGCTTGCGACTCCG